TTTTTTTTTTTTTTTTTTCTCTTTTCCCCCCCTCTCATCTCCTCCATCACAATTTGTACAAGCCGGCGCTTACGGCGCTCGTCGGCCCGAGCGTTTGTTCCTTAGTTGCCTTTTTTCTTCTTGTTTTTGTCACGACGGGAGAGGCCGGGTGGGATGGGTGGTTGATCACGGCTGCCGCTCGGTGCGGAGGAGGCCCCAGGTGGCACCGGGACCCCAGCGCTGTGCAGGGGCCTCAGCTCCGGGTTGTGAGGGAAAAAACCCTCAACCCTGCTTAATAACTGACCGAAAAAGCCACGCTTGGGATAGGGTAGGTGCCAGCTAGTTCTGCAGTTTTACTCCACCAATAATAAGMTACATAGGCCCCTCCTTCCCCTTGCACTCTATGGCTCCTTTAATTAATTAAAGTCAAAAAAAAAAAAAAAATTCCCCATGGAAGGTGTCACACATTGTCCCCTCCTTACATAAACATCTGAGAAAAAGGTTTGGAGGAGGTGGTGCAGCTGTACCAGACCCCTCTGCTGTGCCAGAGTAGGATACAGCACCATACAGGGGGCACATCTTAATCCTTTCTGAAAGCTTTAAAATAACGTAATAATATTTTGATATTACAGCATCAAGAACTAATGCKTGATTAAAGACAGCTACAACTCTTCAACAGATGAAGTTAAAAATCCACAGAGGAGATGAACAGAGAAACAAAATAATCTATGCCACAGTGACTTCTAGCTGAGTATTTAAATATAAATTTATTTTTTTAACTTATTTCAGCAAAGGTTAGAAAGATTTACATGTTACAGCTAGTTGAAAATTTAAGGGTTGTTTGCAAGTACGGGTGGGGGCCTGGCRTGGTGCTCTAGCAACAGTGTTTACAGAAACCTGATCCAAGTAGAGCAAGTCACAGTCCAGAGGACTACATGGCTTAAGGACATAGCTAAATTAAAAAATAATATGTTTTAATATAAATGGAGATAGTGCAGGTGTGTCTTTCACTGGCTGTCTAACACACCTGAGAGGAGAACAATTTTCACAGAATTAATAAAGCAGTGCCAATATTTTTTTTCTGTGAGACTATTTTGAGAAGCTAAAACTAAAATTTTCAACACACATTAAGCTTGTACTTGCTAAACAACCCCAATAATAGGATTGCGACAATTTTATTCATAAATAACTTTGTGACCTTAAAAGAGTAAAACAGCTAAGTAAACGAAATTTTTTAAGAAAGTAGGTGCACTGTAGTAGCTGGCTTGTGGGGATGGCAGTTTTGATATGCACTATGCTGGCTGTGACTATCATTTTCAAAAAGGGCCCTCCTGATCTTTTCCAGTAGTTGCAACATTATAATTTACTTAAGCTGCATAGGGGGAGAAGGGGGAAAAAAAGAACTGACCTATTTCACAGTTGGAGAGTTTCACAAGGAAGGCTGTGGTCCAGATAACAGAGTAGTTACACCAGTGTTTAGGCAGCTGATTCACTTACCTTTATGGATACAAATCAGATTTAACAAAACAGAGACAAATGCTTTGAAAATTCCAGTTTTAGAAGCACTTTCCCCCTTAAAATCTCAGCCAAATGAGAAAGAAACCATCTGCTCTAAAACAAAAGTGTGCCGTTTAATCTGTGGTACATTATCATTATCAAGAAAAAGTAATGGACAGACCCAGTTTTTAACTTTAATATCAAAATATGCTGACTTCTGATTGCACTCATGTTTTTTTTTTTTTTTTTTTTGAAGAAACGACTGAAAATTTTGTCACCAATTGTACAACTTCTTTATACAAAAACAAAAAAGTTGCTAATATTGTATATACACAATTCAAGGAGACTTTATACGAAAAGAAAAAAAAGATGATTTCAGGCAAATATTTTGCATTTACAAAACATGATTTTCATCAACATATTAGGTTTTGTAAATACAAGTGATTTCTTCTTTGTAGAGGATTAACAGCGGGTGCACAAACGGATCTTAAAACTTGCTCCTGTCGAGGTTTAAGCAGGCAGGACGAACATACGAGAGCCAGGTGACAGCGAGCACAGGGTCTCACGACAGGCTCACGTGGGCACTGCACGAGTCAGTCTTTGAAACCTGGCAGTCAGACGAGGAGGAACCAAGAAAAAGCAGATGCTGTTGCTCCGCAGCACCCGTAGGGGCCATTTCAGAGCAGCATCAGACATTTGGCGTGTGCTGGGAGAATGGAAGGAAACTACTAAGGAAAATGGGGACTGTAGACAGAGGGAGGGGTTAACAAAAGCCTTTTCACTCCCGAGGCCCTTCCTTGGGGAGGGCTCAGCCTCCTTGGCACATGCCCCAGCCGGAGTCTGCAGCCGGGGCGCAGGGAAGGCCGTACACTGGTACTTGGACCTTCACCACAGTGCCAAAATACATGAAAAAGGAAAGTGTTCAGGGTTTCGCTTTGCTTTTTACTAGTGGAATAAAATCTGAATACCAGAATTCACTGAGAATCTATATACACCACATTTTAGTTAAACACACACCAATCTTAAAGTCAAGATTGACTATTTTTGCATTTGTAAAATGGCTAGAGCTGGGCTAAATTTCAGCCTTGCAGGAGACTTTGGATAAGGTCAGAGTTTTCTGCATCTGTTCTGTCTCACATTTGTGTTTTATCACAAACACAAAACAAAACAACGTGGCCTCCACAGTGCCAAGAACATCCAGGTAACAACACTGCACGATAGATTTGCTTGTAATAATGAAACTTGTCTACTGGAAACAGATCTGAGAATCTAGCCACAGCCCTGAACCATAACACAAACTTCAGTTGAAGAGTTTATTCATTTTATTCTCACTACAAGTTAAACCACCTACAATATCACTTATATATTGCCATTGTTACTCTGTAAAGGTGTGATATAAAATGCTGTAAGACCCGGTACCTTTTCAATTTATATAAACACAGTGAACTTCATTACTGTACATGTACTCTGCAACTACAGCTTAGCTGTAAATCCCCCACACACAATGGTATGGACATTAACCCCTCTATCCCCATTAAACTGTACATCAAGACAATACAAATTTACTGTCCCCACCCACCCCCTTACAAAAAAATAATACTCTAAAAGCAACCTACTGCAACTTTTAATTAAGACGATTACATATATTTTAGACCAATTGCTTTAAAGCAAGAAGGCGGTATAAACCTTCTAGGAAAATTTTTATAAAAGAGGTTAAGAAATATAAGACAATTTATACATTTAAAAACTTACAATAAATAAGAGATGCAGGCATTTTTGAATACTAGGTACTATAATCCAATACAAGAACATCTTGATGTTCTGAAGCCATAGGTTGAAACTTATTGTTCCTCATATTTCTTCTCATCTCCATGCTTTAAAATTCATTAACCATGTCTGGGTACTATGGCTCATTACTCTTCACAAATACTGTGACTGGGGAAAATATGGTTAATTTTGCTACTAAAAATGTTATAATACACTTTCTGATCATCGTTCTAAAGAGTCCCCCATAGTCAATTCAAAGACAGTAGGGTTATAGATGCCCTTCTCACAAGCCAAAGCAATATTTGCTGGAAGTAACAAGATTCATACCCCATCACAAACCACTTGCACTGAGAAGAACTTATAACTTAGTCCTGCAGTGAAATATCCCTTTTCCTCATTCTCGTCTTTCAAAATTCAGATGAAGATCACAGCATATTCATGATAAAGTTATACAACTGATTCAGCACCACAAAATGAACTGGGAGACATGACCGTCTGTCCTGGGTTGCAGGATCACAGGTTAGCCAGGAGAGTGCATTGTACTGTTCCAGAACAAACCTGGAAGACAAACAAAAGCTTCTGTCAAACCAACAGATTTTCCCGCTGCTGTTTTCAGGAAAGCATTTTACAGTCCCTATTTAATAAAAAAGCACCTCGAAAGATAGTTTTCTAAACATTCTGTATTAACTTTATTTTAATCCCTCCAGTGGAAAACACCATTTTAATTGTTGATGCTTAACTATTTTCAAGAGATTTGCATATGAAAATAAACATCTGGAGAAGAATATGTGAATTTTCCTCATCAACAGCTGTCCCATTTTTACATGAATCTATTGTCTTATGCATCAGCACTTCACTATTCCCCCAACCCATCCAAGACTCTGGCTTAACATTTTAGTAAATAACCTTAGATACAACTTAGGCAACATGTTACACCTCAAGCTCCTTCTAGCTTAAGAAATTCCTCGTCTTTCACYTAAAAGAGGGCCTTAAGATGTTTTATTTCATTTTTAATTGCACTGCTTTGTGATAAAGCCATCTTTTAACCACTCAAAGCACAGTAATTTACAGTGTCTCTGTATGAAGTAGTTAGGGATATCAGCAGCACAAAAACAAAATAACAAGAAAAATAAAGAATATGTGATTTTACATCAGCAAAATGAAAAAAAATGAAAAAGTATTTCTGTAAGTGATCAATCATAAATACCTGAGCACATCAGAAGTTTGATTAGAATCAAGTGGATGGGAGTGTTTACTGTGGAGTAGCTCGTCTGATTGCACTGAAGGCACGTGGAGGTGCAGAGAGGCCTGCGAGAGGAAGGGGAAATGCCGGCAGTTACTACCCGCTTCTGCTGCAACCTGCCTTCCCCTCTGCAGCCTTCAGCCACTTGCTATTGTGACACACAAGCCAGACCAGGTTTTAACTTATACAGTCAACAAGCATTGGGATTATCAGGATCTGAGGAAATGCACTCATAAATCTCCCTTAAAA